TTAACTACAGTTCTAAGTGGCTAGGTAGATGTTACGATCCATTTGTCCCATGTTGGTAGTATGAGATGCTAATGTGAGGTATCCAACATCGGTAGTATGGGATGCYGTTGTGGGGTATATATGTGCTTGGGTTCCCTCCCTCAGTAGAGCACTAGAGATGATCCTCGGGAGCAGATCGATTTTCTAAGGAGCAGTGCCAGAAGATGCTGGGAAGAAGAGAGTTCCTCTGTTTCCAAGATTTCTGCCGCATCATGACACCATCTATCTGTAACACATGTACTATCTTCATCTTCTTCTTTGTTTCAGTTGCTTCATTTAGTAAAGTTTGAGCTAATATATTTATTTACCTTTTGTTATGTGCCTTAGGAGAACTCACCCCTAAAAGCTAGCTGTTAGAGGRAGGGAACCCAAGCACATAAAGACCTCACAACAGCATCCCATTCTACCGATGTGGGATACCTCACATTAGCATCCCATACTMCCAACATGGGACAAATGGATCAGATCGTAACACCTTTTCCCTCCTCAGATTCTTGGACAAAGCTGGAACAAGAAACAACCATTCTGGTTTCTGATGGATATCAAGAGCCTTCAGTCCCAAAAAGGTGATTGATCAGTTTGACACTCCCTTGCTTATGGGCGGGATTTCATGTGAATGGGTCATTCCTTTTTCTTTCCTATGCCAATCAACTGTAGAGAGCTTTTTGTCTGCATAATTCATTGTTTAGATCAGTGTACAGTATAAACTGTATTAAGAAATTAAGCTCTCTGAAAGTGCAAAAGATAATATAATTCATTCAATTCATTTCATGTTTCAACTATTTTGGGTTACATATGTGGATAGCTCAATTTGTTGTGTTTGGATTATCTTGTACAGTCCTCATCTAACTCTTCCTTAGGTTGATGAAATAGAGGCATCRTCTTCATAAAGAGCTAATGCATGCAGAATTTCTGAAGCTGAGGAGAAATGACATAGGAATRTTAAATGAAACCACATGTGAGCTACTGCAAAAGAAAATTCTTGACAGACTTTATATCTCCCCTCATGCCTGCATAATCTACCTTTCTCTCTCTCTCTCTCTCAAAAAAAAAAGAAAAAATATTAAATGAAACAACAACAGATTCTTGTGTTGTTTTGAAAGAAACCAGCTCCTCCTGGAATTCTTCCTCAAGCCTTAGAAGCTTTGCAAATAAATTGGCATTCTAACATGTCGATACATAACCCAAAAATAGGGCTTAGGTCAGACTTAATCTCGGTTGCTTGATTGCTTCAATTGAGATTTTCAAAGGTCTCTTTCTGCTTTAAATCCCAACTAGTTTACAACTTCAATAGAGAAAGGTAAAAGAGAT